TGTGAGGGAGGTGAAGAGGGAGACGCAGATTGCTGATGAGGGACAGGTGCGGCGGATAACAAGCGAGCCCTCCTCAGCCATGGCCCCGCCCAGCCTGCAACAACCAATCAAACACAAAGAGCAGCCAACCACACACGGGCAGTAGATTTGCCACAATACATGTCCACACCTAAAATCCCAACACTTTAGCCATCACAGCACGGTAAAAAGACCATGTTGCTCCATCAGCCATCCTTTATTTTTCTGAAGTCAAGTCAAAAGAACAACAATGTCTTCTTCGTGGGCAATGACAAAACAACAGGAGCGCGCCCTCTACAGCAAAACTGCATACAGTCTTATTTTCTTTGTAAATTAACCATGAAACCTAATACAAACGCACATAGTTTTTACATCTAATATACATATGAAATGTAACATTTCTTTTTAACCAAAAAATACAAATATACTAAAAAATAATGTATATTTTGTTCATGAAATATGTAATCCTTCTGAAATGGCGCTTACAAGTAGAATGTAAAGAATCTGAGTGTTCAGTGGCATTTAAAATTCTGTTGTTTTGTGTTGTTTGAGCAGGTCGGACCAGTCAGTCAGTTAGTGGCAGAAACACACTGAGCTGTGTTCTACATAAACCTGCCTCTGCGTCCACACAGGTGAGTGCAGACTTCTGTCACAGGTGGCCTCTGGTTTATATTTATGGAGGAGTTTTTTAGTGGAAGCTTGTACTTGTCCAATGAATGTATGAAGGACAGTGTGGACCGCAGGAGCTCTGCTGCATCTGTTAGTACAGCGAGAAACACAACACACACTGTGCCATGAAACAGCAGGACTCTATATACAGTTGAAACCAGAAGTTTACACACACTGTATAAAAAGAGATAAAGATGTTTTTTTCCCCTCACTGTCTGACATTAAATCAGACTAAACTTTTCCTGTTTTAGGTCAGATAGGATCACCAAAATTATTACTATTTGCTAAATGCCAGAATAATCCATCCATCCATGATCTATACACCGCTTAATCCTCACTAGGGTCACGGGGGGCTGGAGTCTATCCCAGCTGACTTAGGGTGAAGGCAGGGGACACCCTGGACAGGTCACCAGTGTGTCGCAGGGCTACACTTAGAGACAGACAACCAAGCACACTCACACCTACGGACAAATTTAGAATCACCAATTAACCTCAATATGTTTTTGGACTTGTGGGAGGAAGCCGGAGAACCTGGAGAGAACCCATGCCGCATGAGAACATGTAAACTCCACGCAGAAAGATCCCAGGTGTCCTCACCGGGACGCGAACCGGCGACCTTCTTGCTGCGAGGCAACAGTGCTAACCACTGAGACACCTTGCAACCAAATGCCAGAATAATGAGAGAGAGAATATTTTTTAGAGATTTTTTTCTTTCTTTCTTCAAAGTCAGAAGTTTACATACATTTCCTTAGTATTTGGTAGCATTGCCTTTAAACTGTATGACTTGGGTCGAACGTTTTGGGTTTCCTTCCACAAGTCTGTCTCTCGACTGGCCTGGGAACGCCTAGCGGTCCCCCCAGAAGAGCTGGAGGAGGTGTGTACGGATCGAGAAGTCTGAGCGGCTTTGCTAAGGCTGCTGCCTCCACAACCCGACTCCGGATAAGCGGAAGAAGATGGATGGATTAGTGCCAATATCACTACTTCCGAAAAATGTCACTCAACAAATGGTTCAGGCACTTTGTAAACCCTTTGTTACTGGTTTGCATTGAACTCCACTCTGATTTATTTTTTTGAGGTTAGTGCCATTAATATCACTACCCCAAGAAAAATATCACTAAATGAACTTGCCAAGCACTTTCTAAATACTTGGTTACTGGTTGTGTGTCATTACCTCAAGCTAAAATGTTTCTAAATGAACGTTTTTTGCAGTTTGTTACTTTTATTTATTATAAATTATCTTTTTCTAACCGTAGACGGGAAAGTTACCATATATGGAAACCTTATTCATCTTGATTAGCAACATTTTTTTTTTAAGTCACAAAAGTAAAAATATCCTTCAATAACATACAATAGCTGAAATTTTCATTTCCCAAGTACTTCAAGGAGTGGCCTATAAAGGATTAAACTTCTTCCTCTGGCAGGTTCATCATCCATTATGTCCTTCAGAACTGAAGACGATGCAAGGGTCAATTTTCAGATGTGCAAAAGTTCTGATCCAAAAGACCGAGTTCAGTTCTACGACATTTGGGCAGAAACCTATGAAAAGGTGAGTTTGAAGAACCAGTCTAAGCTTTGACTTGAAGGAACTGTTGAGTTGATCCAACAGTAGAACATCAGGATGTTGTGAGCTGAATATCAGCAGAGTTTCTCTGAGCGGCAGTTTGATGTCCAACAGGACAGCAGCCTGATGAACTACAAAGCTCCACATCTGTCAGTCAAATTCCTGTCTGAGAACTTCAGTGGGAACCCTGAACAAGCTCTGGTTCTGGACGTCGCCTGCGGGTCTGGATGGGTCGCTAAACTGGTAAGACTGTTACTGAGAATGTTAATATTACCATAATGCAGTGTGAAATCTGTATGACAGATGGAGCTCTGGAGGAGAAACAATCAGCAGAACGATCAGAAGCTGGATGATGATTGGACTCAGGTGAAGCTTCAGGAAGCAGCCAACCATGAATTTCCGTTTATTTGTCTTTTTTCAGATGCATGAACTGGGCTTCAGGCACTTTGTGGGAGTGGACGGCAGTATAGGCATGCTGGAGCAAGCTCAAAAAACCGGCCTCTACCTGGATCTCAAACCGGCCATACTGGGACCAGAACCGTTGCCTGCACAGCCTGGTACTCTGCACTCACTGGTTCATCAACTCATGCTCCAACCCAGTCTCCACAAAATTATGTTCTACACAACTAAACTGCATCTTGAATCGTTTGTATCACAAATGTGCATCTCTGCTATTTATTTTATGGCTTCACCGTCTGTTCCTTTCAGCCAACCAATCAGTTATTAGATGGGGTGGGACTTGTCTTCATGGTGGCCCAGAAAGGAGACACTTCAAAACAAGTATTGAAAGAGTCGTATTTTAACTCAAACTGGGACAGTTTGCCAAACCCTAACCAAGTCATGTTGCTTCTAGCATCATGTCTGTCAAACAAGGAGTGATATTTTCCTAAGCCGAACAAGAAGGCAGGTGAACACTAAAAGTAAAGCACAACAACAAACTAAACTTCATTCTGAGCCTGATGTTCTATGTCCATCTCCAGTGTGAGGCTCAGAAATGATGGAAAAAGTCAGTTGAAAAGGGTAAAAGTTTGGACCAGCCTCTATGTACTTCAAGGGCCTGTAGCTCTGGAAATATTCATAGTCATGAAACCTCCAAAATGGTGGAATACTGTCATTTTAAAACAACAGCAAATATCTGTAAGGTAAAGATATTGTAAATTAATTTAAATGCATTCAAACATTGTGATTTTACAGTAAAATGTGAAAGAATAAATTACTGTTGGTAAAAATACAGATTTCTGATGCTTACAGCTTTGGCTTCTTTTTTTTTTTTAAGTGTAAATGGAACCTTCTGCAATTTTACGATATTATATGTAATTTAAACAAAACAGGGAAACTCTGTAAAATTCAGACTTTGTTGCTCTCTCAAACTGGCTGCTTTTCCCACCACGTGACAGGACGCAGATTATGTTTATCTCCAAACAAAACCTGTTTATTTCCCTCCAGAACAAGTGCAGTCTAGTTGCGTATGAAGGTAATGTTGTGTCGACAGAGTTTCGTATTCCCTGTGTTTGAATGATATTCGTGAACAGGAATGTTTGATGCATTACCTTCCCATCTTGTCGGTGGTTTCAGGTGTGTTCGATGTTGTGATTATTGTCGGCGCTTTGCGTCATGGTTTTGTTCCGGTCAGCATCATCAGAGAGCTCCACGCCGCCGCCAAACCAGGTCTGATACCATTTTCCTGATAACATACACTACAAGCACATTAAAGTTATCAGATCAATCCAGCGTGTCTGTTTTACAGTTGAACATCTCTGCAGTGCATTAAGAAAAAACTGCATTTCTGCCTCCAGTCTGTTCCTTAATGTTCTGTAGGTGTTCAGGAACCTTGTTCTGGTAGGACACTGTGTGAACGATTCACTTTTTACATCACACACTTTCAACACAACATTTCCACACATCTAAAACTTTCCAGGGTTTCGTTAAATATGGTAAAGTTACTGCAGATAAAGCACCAGCTGATTCTGACATGAAACATGAAATCTTTACTTGACAAACCTCTTAATGTCTTTCAGAGGGAGATTAAAACAATTTCTTCTCTGCTCAGTTATTAACTGCTGCTCCCTGCAGGAGGCCTGATTTGCATGTCAAGAGTCGACCCAAAGTGTGATTCTGGAGACGAATACAAAGTGAACATGGAGCGAGAGCTGCAGCTGATGGAGGAGGAGGATCTGTGGAGTCTGGTTGCCACCAGAGAGATGAAAAACTACATCAGGGATCCTTACAGGAACTACAGTGAAGAAGAGCAGAAGAAGAGCTACCTCCACGGAACTGTGTACCTCTACAAGAAGGCAATGTAACTCTGACCAGGGAGCACACTGTCTGAATAACATCAAGTAAAGATGGTGATGATTACAACACTTTCTGTGCTGTGTGTTTAGGACACTTTTATTCTATATTTGAAAGAGAAACTCTGTTATTTCATAGAGTTTTATTGAATTATTACAAACACCTTTAGCAAACTGACAGACTTATTTTTTTTTTTTTCTTAATTTGTATCCAGAGATGCAGAGTTTAAATGTAAAAGAACACACAAATATTGTTAGAGCCATTTGTATGTGTTCAGGTCATTCACCAATTGCCACAGTAGGTGGCGTATTGGACAGCAGCACATGGAAATGCATAAATAAAAGAAGAGGTAACTTCTCCTCAGGTGTGCTGCTTACCAAGAGAAGCACACAGTTTTTGACCGTCATCACCGTTTAGAGACTAATCTTTAAGCCTTTTCTTTGTTTTCATGCAAGTTATAGATGTTAGTGTGTTCATAGCAAAGGCTGTAGTGGTACACGGTGGTAAATAAACACATCTTAAGTACAAGTCCGCAGATGTTTGATTTACTGCATGGAGCCGCCGCATGTCTCGGTACCAGCTCCTCACTGTGGCTTTGGGTTTTTTTGTTTGTCGAAATCAAGTCACTACAAATATAAAACCAATAAAAATGTACCTTCAACAGTCTAAAAACAACTATATACTTCATTACTTTTTTATTGTCATTTTACTTCAGTTTATATGTAATTTAAGAAGGCAGAAAATAACATTGCCTAAATAATAAGATAAATTGAAATGGATTATGACAGTATTAGTGTGATCCTTCAAACAAGTGCTGCATTGTTAATTTACAGATAATGTCTGTAACTTCACTGATTCTTCGATATAATTTTTAATAAACTTGGGTAAAACCATCACCTCGTATGGTGTGGAACTAGTGCTGCAGTCAAAATATATCAAATCTTGATGGAAAATCGTAATAATTAGTTTTTTAAAGCCAGAGCTTCAGGATGAAAGCTTAACAACAAAGGTTTCCTGTTGTAAAGGCAATGGGGCCAAGTTTTAACAGGGTTTCCTGGGGACATTTTTGTCTTTAACATCCTGAGTGTAACTATTTTGCGTACGCATCATGTATGAAGCTGGAGTGCCTGAGAAACTTTTCTCAAAATACAGAGCTTTATTCAGGAGAGACTAAACAACCACGACACAGGACAGCAGCCCCTCAGGAGCAGACACATGGTGTAAGAAAGGAGTGAAGAAAGACAACTGTGTTTAACGGGAGCCGTATCTGTAAACAGAGGAGGGTCTACAACACCTACCAGCTACTTACACGGCAGACCTGAGATCCGCCTTCAAACAGTTTACATCCATTCAACCCTCCAGGCCTGTGAGTCTTTAGTTGTGATTAGGAAGTAAGAACAAATCCCTGAGACTCCTCACCAGTCAGTTAGAACTGAAGAAACCTCTTGGATGATCTTCCTGATCATTTTATGTCTCTTTGTGATCAATTTGTCTGTATTTGTGGTGGTTTTGTGTTTCTTTGTGGTCGTTGTATGAATATTTGTAGTCATTTTGTGTCTATTTGTAGCTGTTTTGTGTCTATTTATGGTGATTTTGTATTTCTTTGCAGCCATTTTGTGTCTTTTTTGGGTTCCTTTATGTCGATGTAGTTGTTTTGTGTCTGTGGTGGTTTTGTTTCTGTTTGTGACCCTTTTGGGTCTCTTTGGCTCTATAGTGTTGATTTGTAGTGGTTTTGTGGTGTTGTTGTCTGGCTGTTTTGTGGTGTTGTTGTCTGGTTGTCTCTTTGTGGTTGTTTTTCATCTATTTGTAGAGGTTTCGTCTCTTTGTGGTCGTTTTCTGTCATTCTGTGGTGTTTTGTGGTTGTTTTTTTGGTTGTTTGAGGTGGTTTTGTGTGATGGACAACAGAAGTGGTTTTAAATACTGAAACACACAGTGACAGTAGAGATGTGGAATGAAAACCATCTTTAATCTGTAGAGAAATAAATTAAATACAACATATTCTTCTTCAGTTAAAATCAGTTAAACTCTTTGCTGTTTACCTGCTGCCACGGTTTGTTTGCTTGATGCATAAATCCTGTTTTTGTACATATAAGTACACTTCCTGTTTATTATCTAACACTGTAGTGACGCTCCACTCCCGCGAGTACCATTCCAAAGAGGCAGAAGATGTAAAGAGTTCTCACTCTGTTTGCATTTCTAGGACTCACAAATGTCAAACTGTAGAGAATAGAGCAGCTGATTGAATGTCAGAGTTCAAATTTGGACGTCACCCACTAAGTCAAAATTACAAAATAACATTGGAAATATTTCGCTTCCGGTTTAGAATTTTATTAAAATTCTTTTTATGTGAAAATTTTGACTTTTCGATCTTGTGATTGTGACTGTAAAAGTTTGGACTTCTATGTCACAATTTTGCAATTTTGTCCCTATTTTTTCTTTCTCTGCTCTGATTCTGCCTTTTTTTTTTTTTCTTCGAAGCTATCTTGTGAACTTTGTCGTCTTTATGTTTCTCTTTGTGGTGATACAATTCTGTGTGTTTTTGGAACTTTTCTGTTATAATTTTGACTTTGTTATTGCTTGCTTCTGACATTTTATCCCAAATGTTTGAGCTTTATGTCATAATTTGGAGTTTTTAATCACCAGATTTTTCTGTATTTGTTTGATAATTTATTCTTTTGTTTCACTACAGTCATTTTGCATATTTTTCCTTTTTGTCCCCAACTTTTGACTTTTACATCATAATTTTACGTTTTTAATCACCAAAGTTGTACATTTATATAGTAATTTTGAACACTTAATTCCAAAATGTCTGCCTTTAATTGGATAATGTCGACGTTTTATGTTCTAACTTTCACTTAGTACCCATGTTGAAAATGTGACTTTTTATGTCATAACTTTAGCAATTTAAATTTCCCATAACTTTAGGTTTCTAAGTTACTTTAAAAATATGCTTGTAATTATTCCCTTCCACGGGAGTTGCCCCTTGCTGCTGCTGCTGCTGCTGCTGCTCTCGTGTTTCTCCCGCTAAGTGAGTCATCATTTTGTACAGACGATCTCTGTCCAGTCTCATCGCGAGCTCCTCCGCGCAGCCTCCCTGCATCCGAGCGCGAGCATCACTGCGCACCGAGCGGAGCTCCGACAGACACCGAATCTCTCCGAGCGGACCGCGGCTCCGTCAGCGGACATATGAAGGCTTGTTCCCCCGGACCAAGGACGTGTCTTCGGTGATTCTCCTCCGTGCCGTCGCCTCTCTATGGATGTGAAGTAACGCGGCGGTGGTCAGTCGGTGTCCCTCCATCTCTGCGCTCTTCTCGGTCAGGACCGCATCCACAAAATGGCGGACATCATCGAGCTGGGACCCGCCTACGGTGAGAGACAGGCCCGTTCTGCTCCATCCGTCCGCCGTTTACCGTCGAAATCAGCCAGTTTAAATTCTCCAAGTGTCATTTTTCAGTTTATGTTTAATAATATAACGTGCAGTGTAACAGGTGTACAGGACTGAAATGTCCTGTGTCATGTTGATCAGCTGCCTGTTAGTGAAGCGTTTTCAGGCCACACTCGCTGTTTTTATAGAATCCAGGTCGTTTTTTATTTTAATTCTTAAGCTGGGGCATTTTTTCCATATTTTTTATTCACTGCCTCGACAATATATCAGCTCACAGAGTGAAAACTGATGAGCAGACGGTTTAAATCGATAAAAATCACAGCTTTCCACTGATTTGACATTTTAGTGACTAGAATTGATAGAAAATGCAACGTATTGTTAGATTTCAGCTTCTTTAGTAATTTTTAGATTAAAATATTAAATGTAATCATCAGACAGTGGTTTAATTAAACAGGGCGGTCTCGCGCTCCCACGCACAGTCTGCCTCGCTCTCGTGCGTGCGTGCGCGTGCCAGTCGGGGTGGGTATCGGGGTGACGTCATGTCTGTTCCTGGCGACGAAAAATCGACAAAAATCAGCAAAATGTGACTTTATTTCATATTTCAACTCATATTTTTGCTGTTGTGAAAGCAAACGTTGGTTTCATTTTTTATCAGCCTCAACATGTAGAATCTAATAGTAACAAATGTGATCTTTAAAGTGTTTTAAATGATAAATGTGATAAATCAGCACAATGAAAGGAAACAGAATAAGGCCTGGATGTGTTCAGACCCTGCAGGCTGAATTCAACACGATGTTATAGTTCAATAAACCATTCTTTATTCTTCATTTGGGAGTAGAAGTTGAAGGTTTTTATTTTAACACCAAAGTCCAGAATAACTTGATTTAATGCAGGCATTGAAGAAAAACCGAATCAGCAGTAAACAGCTCAGAAACATTACATTTAGACAATTAATCAGACAGATGATCAATTTAGGAGCTGAATTGTTTTGTAAATTTCACGATTTGAAAGAATATTTTTCTGTTTTCCACAAAACAAATCCCTGCATGATGTCACTGTTTTAAGAAATCTGAGGGGTTTTTTAAAAAAAAAATTTAAATCTGACATTTTGATAGTAATTCTGATAAATATATCTAATATATATATTTTAAAATCATCAATAAAAAAATAGAAAATGACTTCTATTACAAAATACTTATATTTCATGTTTGAATTCCTATTTTTGTTGTTAATATTAAAAATATCATTAGTCTGATTTGTTTATTGATTTTAGCACATTTAAAGTCTTTATTTTTCAGTTTGAGAGTAAAAGTGAAGATTTTTACTTTAATACCAAAGTCCAGAATAACTTTGATAAAACAGACTTTAAATGCCAACTGAATCAGCAGAAAGCAGCTCAATAACAATAAAATTAGACACTATTTGTTTGTTTTTTTTGGCACAACAGCTTTGATAATGAAATAGTTCAATCAAATGTATTTTATTTTGCAGCTAACAAAACTCTGGAGGATGTCAAAGGTTTAGAAAATCATACAGTTTCATCTCTTTCTTATATTTTTAGGTTATTTGAAGAAAAGGAATCCATCAAAAAGTTGCAGTAATTAGTTGATTGTCTCGCGATCGACCATGTAAACTTGTTGACTCAATTCTCTGTTTGACAGAAAATTAATCTGCAGCTATTTTGATTATTTAAAAAGTAATTTTTAAAGATAAAATGAAAAACATGTTTGAGGCTCTCAGACTGTTCTCCTTTTGTGGTTTTAAACGATCATTTATTCTAAAAATATTTAGCAGATTAATCAATTAACCATCAGTAAGTTATTGGTGAGACGTGCAGCTGCAGCAGAATCAGCATCACTTCATCATTTGTCATACTTTAAGCTGAATAAGAAAACTCTCCTCTGGTTATTGTATCTCTGTGTTTATCTGTTTCATCATTTCAAACTGAGCAAATATTAAAAACAGCAATTTTTTATTGGAAAAGCAGTTTAGTAGTGATTCATTTTGATTTAATCAAATACTTACTCAGAAATTAGTGTTACAGAGTCCAGAAAGACTTTTATGAAGTGATGTTTTGCTTCGAAAATGTTTCATCTTTCATGTTTATAAAGAACAAGTACAGGGGCGCCGCTATAGCTCACCTGGTTGAGCTGGTGTCCCATATGCAGGGCTACAGTCCCAATGTGGAGGTCATGAGTTTGAATCCTGCTTGTGGCCCTTTCCCACATGTCCTCCCCCCATTCTTCTCACCCATTTTCCTGTCTCTCTCTCACTGAACTATAAAATAAAGGCCAAAAAAATAACTTTAAAAAAAAACAAGTACGGCTGCCATCAATAGTTGAATAATCTGTTATTTTTTGTATTGACCATATTAATTCAGTTTAGTTTGTGATTCCTCACATTTCTTGTCTTGTCCAAAGACATTCAGTTTCCTGTCATAGAGGAGGAAAGAAAGCAGAAAATATTCACATTTAAGAAGCTGCAATCAGAGAATTTACACTGTTTTTATTTTCAAAATTACTTCAGTCCATTATGAAAATAGTCAATGATTAATTTATTAGTTGACAACTAATCGATTGATAGCTGCTTTAACTTCCATGTTGTGCTGGATTCCTGCTAATGTACAAAAGATCAGCCAACTCCACAGTTTACCAAAAATTAAAGCAACAGGGCTGCTGTCACTCTCAGGTTATGCGACATGTTCACAAACTGTCACTGCTGGAAATGTAGTGAAGTAGTGTTAGTTCTTCTCGTCCTTCATGTGTTGATCCTGTAGTAGTTTGTGTTGTTTTTAAGCTGGTTGTTAGTTGTGCTGCTTTGGGACACGAGTTTCTCTCTGTGTTTATTTAACTTCACCTGAACATGCTGAATCCAAAATACTCCAAACAGGGGTGTTTAGCGTCTGCAGCACAGCAACATATTGACTCCCAAAGTGAAGCCAGGACCTGTGGAGCTTCCTGGTTTCGTTAGTTTAGGAAGAGCTTTACTTGATGTGCAGTGAAGAACACATTTTAAACATCAGTTATTCATGTGATGGTGTGTAGAGCTGCAACCAATAATCCATTAGCTGTCCACTGTTAAATTAATCACCCGCTAATATGACAATCGTATGACCAGTTTGAGTAATTTTTAAAATAAAAACAGTCTAAATATAGTCACTGCAGCTTTTTAAAATGTGAATATTTTCTGGTTTTAAATGGTGTTTAATCATTATAGAAATGAAAACAGGAGCTTTTTACTGGAAAACTAAATAATAGAGTTACTGTGAGTTTATCCTGAGTGTAATTCAGCTCAGTGTGTGTGTGTGTGTGTGTGTGTGTGTGTGTGTGTGTGTGTGTTGGTTGCTAGGCAGCGAGCTCAGCTGCTTTCGGCTCTTTCCAAAACATGACATCATCTGATGGAGTCTGAATGAAAGCCGACAACAACAGGAAGGAGGATTTTCTGCAGCTCAGTTCAGTTTAACTCATAAACGCAGTCAGATCGAGACTTTACAGTATTTTAGAGACAAACAACAACACGAGGAAAAACTTTTCTTACAAAGTCGAGACAGAGCCAGGCTTTACCGGTTCATAGTTTAGTCAGTGTTGTGCTCCTGCAAAGAAAAGCAACAGTAATATGACTAACATAGCAAAGTGCTTCACAGTAAAAACAAGTGTGCATATACAACGCAAATATAAAATACACAAATCATACATAAGATGAGATAATTCTTCATTAATCCCACAGTAGGAAAAGTACAGTGTTACAGCAGCAAAGACAATGGTGCAAAAATGTGGGAACAAAAGTCAGTAACTTTAAAATAAACAGAAAGAAACATAAGTACAGTTGATGTTGTACAGAATCTTCCATATGTAGAAAATTCAGAAACTACACAAAGTTGTTTTGTGTGTAGAAAAACAGTGATAATGTACAGATTCTTACGTGAGTAGTTGTGAGTGTGAAATAGACTGATCAGCTTATTAGAAGGTTTATTGATCTGCTTTTTGTTGTCTGTCTCGTACATGTAGGAGCTTATTACAAATGTAAAGTAAATCTGCAGCTTTAGATTGTCTGACATTAGAGACGTCTGTCAGAGGCAGTAGAGCAGCAGGTAACAGAAAACCTCAGTGCACAGATGAATAGCAGCAGCCGGTGAAGATCTCTGTGTAGAAATAAACGTCTTCAAGCAGCTGTAAAATCTCGGGGCTTTTGTTGTTCCTCTTTCAACTTTTAGAAGAGTGAATCCTGATCAGTTCGTACCGAGTGAAGCTCACAGAGGACTTCCTCAGGAATTCATAGACAAAAACCACAGTTTTGTCATCGATTGTGAAACCAAAAAAGCCAGCAGAGACAAAATTACTACTGTCTGGCATGTGTGATTAACTTAAACACATGTACTGTTATTGCAGTAGTTTACAATGAAGGCCGGGACTGGTTCACATCATTAGTTAGTCTATTTTCTTGATAATATCTGTAAAAAATAGGGGGAAAAATGGACATTTGTCCCAACCTGACTCACGTTTTATAGTTTTTATTCCAAACTCAAGCCTCATTTTGAACATTAGAAGAAATAAAAGATTTTAATATAATCCAAATGTAATAATGTTCAAGATTTTCAGCTTATCTAAAGACTTTCACATCACATTTTTATCAGTGTTTTGTGTATATACTGCGTCTCTGTGGGACGTGCTGACTTTGCACCTTCATTGCAGACATTTAGGGAAATGCACGAACAGCGTAAGCACTCCGTCTGCCTTAAAGGAAACGCAGAGAGTAGCTGCCTCGGTCTGAGTTTTTAATATCTGCATTAGGTTTCCATCCAGGATACTTACTCCCTGATCAACATATTGATTTCCATGTACTGCAACAGAAAGCAACGTTTGTTGTGGAAATAAATTCTTGATGTTTTGTGTGCACAATGAACACAGCATTACCTGACTGCAAAGTCATCGTTGTGCTGCTGCTGCAGGTCACAGTGTGCAGAAATGTGTGGTAGCTGCAAAAACTGTAAAAAAAAAAATGCTGTTAGAAAAGAGAGAATGTCTTACAGTGAGGTCATCTTATAATACAGTGTGTGTGTGTGTGTGTGTGTGTGTGTGTGTGTGTCCTCAGAACAACAGGACTCTTCTGTAAACAGCAAACAAAGACCTCCTCACTCTTCTTCTTCCTGTTTCCTCTCAGCAGGAATCACTTGGACTCTAATTAGAGATGAGGAGACTCAGTGTGGTGACATCACTGTGTTACAGTGTGATGATGTCACCGCCAGGGATCGACCAGTTATCAGGGCTGATGTTCAGGCGTTTTGATTAATGACAAGTGATGGAAATTTTAGGTCCACCTGTGATGAGATGGGAGATTTTTCTTTATCAGTTCAGTACCTGTGTTGCAGCTTTTCTGTTTTCTTAATGACAAGTACTGAATTTAAATTATCGCCAGGAATTTGTTGTCTGAGAAGAAAATGATCATTGTCCATCTTGATTTTGTACCAATTGTCAATTCCAGCTGATAACTAAAAGCCACAGTGCTGTTAGTTGTAGTAAAGAAGCATTTTATGCACTGTTAGCCACAGTGTTAACATTATATTGATATAATGAGTTAGAAATTCAGTAAGAATTTCAAAATGTTGTGCTTTGTAGTGTCACCACACATATCTTCAGCAGAATCACTTTTCTAAATGTTTTCAGAAATGTTTAGTATTTGCATCAGAAATACTTCATCAGCATTCACACCAATGACGTGAGAAGCTGCTTCAGTGCATTACACATATAAATAAGCTCAGCGTTGATCCGCTGGGAGTCAAAATGGGCACTTTCTGATTTAAACTAAATTTTATCTGTATTATTGTCCATAACAGCGTCTGAACTTCTGTCCATAAGTGATTATGGATATAATCATGCAAATCATCCAACATCTTGTAAGTTAGCATCCGTCAGTTTCTAAATGCTGTGGATCTTTATTGTACGTTTCTAACATTAAACTTTCATGATTTCAAAATTTCTGAGTTAACAAAAGAGATGCACAGATTGACAGACAGACTTGGTGGCTGTTACAGTTCAAAGTGACATCCACAAGTGTTGTTTTTTTGCCCAACCTCCACTTCAAGATATTCAGTTTACTGTTACTTAAAACAGAAACACTCCAGAGAACTTTGAGCCTTTTGTCTGAACTATTTTGTGATTACTATACAGGATTTACCTGAAAACATAAACAATGACGTGTTGACAGTTTTGGCTCTGTATGTTTTTCTAACCGTCTCTCTGTCTTGGTTGCAGCCATGTCTCCGGTGCTGGCGGGCTTCCTGGGAGCTGGTGTTCTGGTTCTGGTTGTGGTGGTTTTGGTTCTGCTCTGGTCTTTCTGCCAGCGACGCTACCTTCGTGTCTCCGGACGTTACAAGCTGCACGGCGACCGCTACTGCGACGCTGAGGACCCGCCCTACAAGTTCATCCACATGCTGAAGGGGATCAGCATTTACCCAGAATCCCTCAGCAGCAGCAAGAGGATTGTCCGCGGCATCCGGCGTGCCGACCGGTCCGACCGTGATGGAGAGCGAGGCTGCCCTGGCGCCAGCGCCGCAGGGAGGGGAATGGTGCTGGTGGACGCTGAGAACAACATCCTGGACGTCCCAGGTCAGCTGCAGATGAGTCACCTGGTCCCACCTGCCGGGTCAGGCTCCGCCCACAGCCAGGCCCGGCTGGAGCGGGCATTGCCAGTCCGTGCCGACTACTGCTGCCTGGACAGTAGCTCAGCCAGCAGCAGCCAGACCAGCAGCAAGACAGCGTCGCCCTTCACACCTGCCTCCTCAGAACCAGAACCCGAGCCCAGCCTGGGGTCCATCAGCCTCACCGTTGACTACAACTTCCCCAAGAAGGCGCTGGTGGTGACCATCGTGGGCGCCCGCGGCCTCCCCGCCATGGACGAGCAGGCGGGCAGCTCGGACCCATACGTGAAGATGACCATCCTGCCAGAGAAGAAACACCGCGTCAAGACCCGCGTGCTGAGGAAGACCCTGGACCCATTGTTTGACGAGACCTTCACCTTCTACGGCGTGGCCTACAGCTCGCTACCCGAGCTCACTCTGCACTTCCTGGTCCTCAGCTTCGACCGCTTCGCCCGCGATGACGTCATCGGAGAGGCCGTAGTGCCTCTGAAGGGCGTCGACCCGAGCACGGGCCGAGTCCACCTGAGCCAGCAGATCACCAAGAGGAACATGCAGGTGACTGAAGACTCACTCATTATTATTATCATTATTATTATTAGTGGTGATAATAATAAAAAAAATATCTTTAAGGACATTTTTCTCTTTTCATTAGCTTTGTTCTAATTTCTACAAGCTCTTCAGTTATAATAAATCAAAGTTAAAGCTGCTTTGTGAAAATAATGTGGATTTTTAAACCTCGAGGCAGTTTCTGTCTCATTTTTCCTCACAGTAGCAAACACTTTATTTTTGGCTTATTTTCAGATCGGACATGTAGAATTAGGTGATTTTGATGGAATATCAGATTTTAACTTCATGATTCATTAGTTTTTCCTGATGAAATCAAAAGTCAAACATAATTAGGTTAAAATCTGATCATTCTGGCTGATAAATGGTGTCACTTTGGAGATTTTTTAAAGACGACATGCCGTTCAAACCTGCTGACAGGTTCTGGGGTTCAGAGGTTAATGATAGATTTAATAATTCAGTAGTTTTTCACGTCTCCTGTTGTCACTAGATCAATGAAATGGGAACTATTGTTGAGGGCATTTTTAGTTTATTACTTAATATTTGGTATTTTGAGTAAATGAGTAAATATTCAATAAGAAAAAAGACCTTATCATTACAGATACTCTTCATTTTGACGATAGTCCAACATACTCGGTTCTACTCAGGAGATTCAGTTTCAGCTTTAACCTCCTGACAGTGTGACTTCACATCTATACATTCCTCTGCCTCTTTGTGTTGTTGTTGATGCTGATTAATAGCTGGTGCTATTGTGTGTTACTGCAGAAACAGGCCGGCCTGACCTTTGCTGGGTTCAAATAATCAGATGTCAGTGTCTCAGTGACAGACTCCCTGTTGTTCTGTCTTCATCAGGTTAAAGATGCTGAGCCCAGCAAACATGTTACTGATAAACCTAATGTGACTCATCATGTTGGTCTCAACCAGCATCACGGGTTTGTCTGCTTCTCCAAGGTTTTTCAAATCAGAATACAAACCAAGCCAAGCAGCAGTGAGTTAGGAGTTCACGTTTGGAGATATGTCTGTCTGAGATTCAGTTTGAGCTGCTCTGCAAAAGACATTTAGATCATTAACAGCAGCAGCGTGTTTGTTAATCTGATCGGTCTTATCATCCTCAGGCCCTCATAACTGCTACATTTCTGTCACATTTTAACAAGAGCTGCAGATTGCTACAGTTTTCATTCACAGTTCGTTTCTCTACTTAACTAATATAAATGTTTGGTCCACAGAGAAAAAGTCACAGTTTTCCTGACACCACACGCCTTGGTTTGTCCAAAACTCAAGATATTGAACTCTAGTGTGGGACAATTTTCTCTGGTTTGAGAAACTGTTTACGTTTAGATTGGCCATGTTAACAATCAACAATTTGTTTTTAAAAATGAATGAAATATGGACGTTTTGACTATTTCATATTAAAAGTATTCTATATGTTTAGTTTTTTTATTATTACGACATGCAGCTGCATATGGTCCAGAAAATATATTTGGTTGACTTCACCTGACTTGACTTTCTCAAAGATGGAACTTTTCATGACGGCTTCCTTTTTTTTTCATATTTTAACTGACCTATAGTCAGAGATTAATTGATCTACTTTAATTCTGAATCAATGACATGATGGGAAATCGCCGTGAAAATTTCTGTTTTTTTTTTTTATCCTTAATAGTTTCTGAAATATTGTCTTTCAAACAGACTTAAATTTCAATGTGAGAAAAAAAAACCTGCTTCAAGTGGGTCAACGGGAAATATAAAAAAATATATATTTTAGCTGGAAATGTTTTTGATATATCAAGCTACAGTTTTACAGATATTTTAAAAATCTCCATATTTTGTGCTGTAAAAGTTTCAGCTACATCAGAGAACACTGAGCAGAAATTGTTGTCAACATGTGATGATCTGAGATGGACTGAACCAGCTGCGTTGTTTACTTTCGTCTGTGTTTGTTGGTTTTGCAGCAGATCACAGATCTTGTGTTAACAGTAAAACTGCTCTGATGCTCCTCTGATTGTGTCTTTACAAGTTCAGTGTCTCTGATTAAACCTGTGGAGGAATATTATGTTGTGTGACGGACAGCTCAGCCTGTGTTGTGGGCGACAGCAGGATTAAATGAACAGCTGATGATGGAGTCTGGTTCTGTTCTTCACTGGTTCTGTTTCTGTTTCAGTGTGAGAGTCGTGGCGAGCTGCTGGCCTCTCTGTCCTACCAGCCGGTGTCTCATCGCCTCAGCGTGGTCGTCCTCAAGGCCCGGCACCTTCCCAAGATGGACATCACCGGCCTGTCAGCCAGTGAGTAGAACCACAGAACCACGACCGGTTCTGGTAGAACAGCAGGGGAGAGTGTTCCGATAAAATCACTGATTAGTCAAGTATTCAGACACCTTCTTTAATTCTCTACCTCCTTTCTTTTTTTCTTTCCTTCCTTCCTTCCTTCCTTCCTTCCTTCCTTCTTTCTTTCTGTACCTCCTTTTTTGTCTCCTTTCATTTATTCTATCCTTCCTCCCTACCTTCTTCTTTCCTTCTCTTGCTGCTCCTCTGAATGTATTTCCTGTGTTGCAGTGAATCAGTTTAAACTCTTTAATGCTGACTGGTTGTGACTCTAAACGCTGACCAGCTGAGCAGCCATAAGGCTACAGATTACCCATAATGCATCACTCTCTGCAGAAGGCCTGTACGGTACTAGACACACCTGATGCTGTGACATGTGACGGCCTCCTTCCTCAGATTTCTGATATTATATTCGGGCCTCTCAGGTAACCAGTCGATCATTTTTGTGTCCTCAGATCCTTACGTGAAGGTGAACGTCTTCTACGGTCGTAAACGCATCGCCAAGAAGAAGACTCACGTGAAGAAGTGCACGCTGAACCCCGTCTTCAACGAGTCCTTCATCTATGACATCCCGCCTGAGCTGCTGCCCGAGATCTCCGTGGAGTTTCTGGTGGTCGACTTCGACCGGACCACCAAGAACGAGGTTCTGGGCCGCCTGCTGCTGGGCCTGCACAGCCCCGCCCCCTCCGGTGCCTCCCACTGGCGGGAGGTCTGCGAAAACCCCCGCCGGCAGATCTCCAAATGGCACAACCTGAGCGAGTACTGAGGAGGAGGAGCAAGAACCAGAACCAGCGACCCCGCTGGGACTCCACCAGTGAAGCTCACTGGAAACACAGACTCAGTGTACAGCACACACACACACATCTGCACACATTTACATGCAACACACACACACAAACACACACACACACAGACACACACACTGTTGTGATCATAGTTAAACTCTCTCTCTCTCTCTGTCTCTATTATCTCTCTCTACCACCACTACATTCGCAATGATAAGAAGAATCCTGCAGTTCTTTACTTCAGCCAGCAGATGAAAAGAAAAAGCTGTTTTTCAAATAGAAACCATGAAGTCCATTTCTAAGACTGTTGTTGTGTCTCCTCCAGGGGAAGGAATGCTCCAATAACATTAAAAAAGAAATCCTTGAAAAAAGAAAACAATCCCCCTCTTGCTGTTGTTGTCATGCAGTTCATCGCATGTCTGTCTGAAAAGAAAAACAAAACAACTCGGGATAAAGAGTTGAGAGCTGCTGACATCTCGCTGACTGATCGACAGGAAGAAACTTCAGCTCTGACAGAAGAGAAAGTCCAGTTTAAGTACTCAGTAACACTGCATTTAACTAATATATCCAATATAATTACTCCTCAGTAGGACCAAATAAGAAACCTCCTCCCACCTCTGAAGCTCCACCTCAGCGACAGACTTCCATTGTTCGGGGGGATGAAGATGTTTTCGTCGGCAGCATGCAGCCTGCAGATTCCTACAGTTTCCTCCCATCCTGCAGCAGAACTGATCCGCAGGAGCTGGACGCCCTCGTTTTAATGTGGACTTTAACTGAATGCGGATTAAAAACTAAACATCTCCTGACTGACCCTAGATCACTCTGATAAATCTGCTCATGGAGGCAGAGAGACGATGTAAAATACTTGTTTGTGACATGAATACGTTTCTCTGATTTCCTGCAGCAGAGGCAGCTGTGGGTCCTGATGGTGGTTTTAGGCCTGTTACCTTCAGATCTCTGACTCCACAGCGCTCTTACGTGCAGGTGTGACGTGAAAATTACAAATCACAGAAGAGAAGAAACCTGGGCCGACTGCCTGTATCAGAGGTGTCACACTGACAGACGCTCTGTGGCTTTGATTGAGCTTTTTTCTGCACAAACTTTGACTTTTAGCATCTAAAAGCAAAGACAACACTGGTACCGTTAAACTCACAAACTTAAGTTGCTTCATTTATTTATTTGCTGAAAATATCAGGCATTCGGTGCATAATCAGTTTGGAAAAGTAGGTTTTATTTTGGTCTGTAATGAAGTGAAGACAGTCTTGGTGGACTGAAATTTTTCTTCAACCTATCGATTAGTCGCTTGGAAAAAAAAATAGCAGCTTTTGTGTAGACAGACTAACTGTTCAGCGACTCTACCTGCAGCCTCATTGAATACTTTCTAAATCAATGTTAGAAGCTCATATTGCAGCAGGTCCAGCTTTAGATGGTCTTCAGTGTCTACATTCAGCTGTTTAAAGTTAGAGAAGGTTTTGGAAGATATTTTAATTCACTAAAAATCAACATTTGCACCTATAAAATTCTAAATTCCACATATTTGCAGGTTGTTGGTAATGAATTAGTTTTGATTATCGAGCAGCTTATTTGAACGTAAACAATCGAGGAATAATAATCACTAAGGATCGTACTAATAAGGAGTAAAGCAGTAACAACAGAAGCCTAAATATCCTGGAAGTGCTCCATTTGAGACAAAAACTATTTCTTCGGGAGCTTAAGCTGCTCTGAGGAGTCACTCCACAATCTGACATCCTTCACGTTTTTGGGGGAAAACACCTGCTCGGCTGATTTGAACACCTTATTTCCACCTCAGGATGTTTTGGGGGAATCTAGAAAAGTCTGATCACATTATTTTCAGAGTTAAAATCAAAGAGCACCCAGTGTCACAGCTTCATAGTCTAAACTTCTATTTAAAGTAAAGCAAATGTAGGTAATAGCCTCAAAGCCTAGAGGACAAAACAGAGTCTTGATCTGCTGATAGATTCCTGATTAAATGAAACATGAAATGACGGACAGTTCAGTGTGGATCTTGATAACAACAGGCCTAAAAGACGACCAGCAGCCACAGCTCCCCTCTGCTTTGCTGCCTTCCTTCCTTTTTCTCTCTTTGTGTCTCATTTTGTACATTTTCATTCTCTTCTCGACCAGATTTGGACTCCTGATTTGCACTCGTTTGTAAAGCATTTCTCCCTGTGAACATTTCCCTGCACAATGATTTAGTCGGCCAGCTGGTGGCGCTGTTTTGTATTGATTTGTTTCATAAAAAGTGAATTGGGTTTAATATTTTGTTGATGATACACTGTGAGTGAACTTTTGAAAGCACATTTTCATCCCAGTTGAAAGTTAATCCACCTTAAATCTGCTCTGCAGCTTGCTTCTCTTACAGAGATTAATAATGTGTGTAAAACTAAATTTCACTTTAAATCTTAGAGACGTAACGAAGCGGTGAAGACGCCGCAGCAGCTTTTATCACCCGAAGCCTCAGATCTGGTTTGTGGACTGAAGCTGTGACCGACAGACGGACGGACGGACTGACTGACTGTAGATTTGTACAGATGTGAAAATGTTTGCTGGTTTCTCTCCTGTCTGATGTCCTCGGAGCTTTAGTGTGTTTGAGCGCCCCCTGCTGTAGACCTGGATGCTAACCTCTGTGTTGGGTTTGTTAACACTCATTGGACGTGCAAATAAAAAACAAGTTAGCCATGATGGCTGTGTCTGCTCACTTTATTAACGTTAACAGATCTGCTTATTTTTATTCTATAATTAGTCTATACATTATGATTGTTCTTTATTTTTAAAATTTAAATCTCCTATCATTTCATTTTTACGTATTAACTCACTAGTTTATCTCTTTTTAGTCTGTTAATTATGGGGGGGAAAAAATTTCTACAAATATTTGAACGTTAACATTTATTTTTTTTTCTTTTTTGAAGCTCCTATTTTTTTATATTCATATTTTAAATCATTTATTACTATTTTTCTGTTTTGATCTCTTATTTTTATATTATTATTTTAACTTTAATATTTTGTTAGAATTCTATTTTAAATCTAATTTCATCAATTATATTAATTTATTAAATTATTTCTCTTTAATGTCCCATTTATCTAATTTTTACATGAATATTTTAACTTTATTTCAATTTTTTTCTCTCTCTAATCTCTTATTTACATTTTCAGTAATATTTTTGCTTGATTTTATTTTTTCTATTTTTATTCTCTTATTATACTTTATATATATATATATATTACTTTATTATGTTTTGTCTTTTCAATCTCTTATTTTTTGTATTAGTGTCTTTATTTTTTCATTTTTTTAAATCTATTTTATTTTTATATTAATATTTTATTTTAGTTTTCATTTTATTATTTATGATTTTTCGTTTATATAATATCTATCTTATTTTCATATTTATATTTTAATTCCCTTTTTTTTATTTTTTTTATTTTTGGTTTTCCCCAATTTTTTTTGTCCATTTTTTATGTGATTTTTTTTGCATATTTTACCCATTTTAATGTTAAAGATCATCAAACAAATGTAAATATCAGCCAAAGACAACCCGAGCAAACACAATATGGAGTTTTTAAATGATGATTTTATTTATTAAGGGGGGAAGAAACTATTCAAGCTACCAGGCCCAGTGTGAAAAAGTTATTGCCCCTAACAACTGAAATCAAGCGTTTTCTGTAACTGGCTATGAGTCTTTCACATCTCTGTGGAGATGTTGTCATTGTTTTAATTCAGCAACACTGGAGGGTTTTCGAGCATGAACGGCCTTTTTAAGGTCATGCCACAGCATTTCAATCAGATTCAAGTCCAGACTTTGACTCGGCCGCTCCAAAACCTTCATTTATTGTTTTAAGCCGTTCAGAAGTCGACTTGCTGGTGTGGTTTGGATCGTTGTCCTGCTGTCGAACCCAAGTGCGCTTCAGCTGGAGGTCACCAACTGATGGCTGAACATTCTCCTTCAGGATCTTCTGGCAGAGAGCAGAATTCATGGTTCCACCAATCACAGCAAGTGGTCCAGGTCCTGAAGCAGCAAAGCAGAACCAGACCATCACAGCACCACCACCATATCTGACTGTTGGGATGATGTTCTGTTTCTGAAATGCTGTGTTACTTTTACGGCAGATCTAACGAGACACACACCTTCTAAAAAGTTCAACTTTCGTCTCATCAGTCCATAGAATATTCTCCCAAAAGTCTTCGGGATCATTCAGATGTTTGTTAGCAAAAGTATGACGAGCCTTTATGTTCTTTTTGGTCAGCAGCGGTTTTGGCCTTGGAAACTCTGCCATTGATGCCATGTTTGCCCTGAAGTCTCTTCCTCATTGTTGAGTCATGAACACTGAGGTGAGGTGAGGGAGGCCTGCAGTTCTTTGGATGTTGTCCTGGTTCCTTTGTGACCTCCTGGATGAGTCGCCGCTGTGTTCTTGGGGGAGGTTCCTGGGAAGGTTCACCGCTGTTCCATGTTTTCTCTATTAGTGGATGATGGCTCTCACTGTGGTTTGCTGGAGTCCTAAAGCTTTAGAAATGACTTTGTAACGCTTTCCAGACTGATAGATGTCAGGTACTTTATTTCTCATCTGTTCTTGAATTTCTTAGGATCGCAACATTTTGTTGCAGCTTTTGAAGATCTTTTGGCCGACTTCATTTTGTCAGACAGGTTTTGTTTCAGTGATTTCTTGATTGAACAGGTCTGGAGGTAATCAGGCTGGGGCGTGGACAGTGGAATTGAACTCAAAAAATGTGATTAGCCACAGTGAATTCAGGATTTTAACAAGGGGGAATTACTTTTTCATAAAGGGCCAGGTAGGTTTGGATATTTTTTTTCCCCTTAAAACATTAAATCACCATTTAAAAACTGCATTTTCTGTCTACTTTGGTTATCTTTGTCTAATATTTAAATTAGTTTGAAGGTCTCAAACATTTAAGTGGAGGAGATATTCAAAAAAGTAAGAATTCGAGAAGAGGCAAATACTTTTTCATAGCGCTGTATATACAGTTAAAACCAGAAGTTTACATAGTGTATAAAAAGACATAAAACTTTTTTTTTTCTCGCTGTTTGACATTAAATCAGACAAAGCTTTTCCTGTTTTAGGTCAGTTCGGATAACCAAGTCAGAAGTTTCCATACACTAAGATTACTATTCCTTCAAACTATTTGGGAAAACCCAGATGATGATGTCATGGCTTTGGAAGCTTTTGATAGGTTGACTGACAGCTTTGAGTTAACTGGAGACACACCTGTGGATGTATTTTAAGACACACCTCAAACACACTGCTTCCTTTTGTGACAACATGGAAAATCTAAAGAAATCAGCCAAGATATCAGGAAGAGAGTTCTGGACCTTCACAAGTCTGGTTCGTCCTTGGGTACAATTTCCAGATGCCAAAATACATAAGAATGAATATATAGTATAAATATAAAATATAAAAATATCAATATTTTACAGATGTTTGCTGTTATTTTCACAGTTTTTGAATATTACAGTATTCCACTGTTTGGTTTAAAATAAACAAATAAATTCTAAGATTTTCTCAGGGATTTTTTTACTGGAGCTTTTACTTTGGGGCTTTTGTAAAGATATGTTTTGTTTTGTTTTTTTCAAATGATTTAATCTTTCTAAATCTTTCTGAACGTTATCTTTTGAAAATTCTTGTATTGCAGAAAAACAGCATCTTGCAGCCCTAAAACTAACACCTGAGTCTACGTTGTGGCTGTCTTCTTACATATGTGATACTAAACTGAGAAAATCTAACATGTATGTCAAATATACATACAGATATACTGTTTTGTGGTTGTTGTTTTTTTTTACAGTTTCTGACATTTTATAGACCTAAAGGCAATGGGCAGGTTAGTTGTTGGTTACCTAAGAAGTTCTTATGTCACCCATCTGCATCGTCCATGTTGTAACATGAAAGTGTGTCTGAGTTCTGCAGCCTCTGAGTGCTTTTGATGTCCAGCCGGGATGTTTTAATACTCACTGATATAACAGCAGCTTACTTTAATTTAACAGGAAAACCATCTGAGAAGCAAAATGCAGCGTGTCAGGGGACTCATAGGACAAACCTCAGTGACGCTGCAGAAGCTCAGCTTCTATCTGTACTTTCCTTTATGTGTAGAAACCAGCAGATGCAGCGTGGTCGAGCTGAGTGACTGCAGCAGTCACATGAACCGTTTTCAGAAACATTGGTTCCTTTATGAGGAGAGCGCCGTGACCTTTGCCTTCCTCACTTTCATGAGCAGGATAAAAATCATCGGGCAGCGTCTCTCATTTCCTAAATTTGACTTCCGCAATAAAATACGACGTCTGAAAAACAAGCTGGTGTTTGTTTTGTTTGTGTTTGATTCATAGTTGAATAACAAGTCAACGAGTAGTTCCTTCATTTCTGTGATTCTCATTTAACAATGAAGAAGGAGAACGATGACCACACGAAGGCGACTTTATATATTTACAATAAAGATAAAGATAAATACTAGCAACAGCTCAAAATATTCAGTTTGTGGTCACATTAGATAAACAAACATCTATTTTAAAATCAGCCAGTTGTTTAATTAATCCTCTGAACTCTGGGATGTTCTAGTGTTTCCTCTGTTCCTGTCTCATTTGTCCTCAGTGTGGCTCATGTTTCACTGCAATCTTTGGACCGTAAGAGGAAGCTGGAGAACCCGGAGAGAACCCACGCTGCACAGGGAGAACATGCAAACTCCGCACAGAAAGATCCCAGGTGTCCTTACCAGGGCGCGAACCGACGACCTTCTAGCTGTGAGGCAACAGTGCTAACCACCGGGACACCTTGCAGCCCCTCACTACAGATATTAAAGTATTTGTAATTTCTTATCTCCTCTCTGCTCTGTGGAATCCATGCCTGCAGTTCAACTAAAAACAGGACTGTCGGTGGAAACTGAGTCAGACATGACTTCACAGTCGCAATGAGAAGCTCCGAATTTTGATGTTTTTCCAGAATACGGTGAATATGGTGCACTGATGTAAATTATAGTCAAATGTGCTTGTGTCTGACTGATGGAGCAGGGATATTAATAATAATAAACCCTAGAATCATTCAATGGGTGAGAAAGAAGTGTTGTCTCTGAAAGAATTACCTCATTTATCAGCCAGACTCAACGAATTTCCAACACTCTGTCAGTCTTTGAACTACTCATCTGTGCCAGAAAACTGAACCAAACCTGAGCTTAAAGTTGGAAGATTTTATCAAAATCACTGTAAGCCACATGTGACATTTAAAAAAAAATCACTACAAATTAACCATCAGCCCAAACTAGATTCTTTAAAAAATAATAATAATAATAATAATAATAATCTGAGTCCCTTGATGCAGCCATGAAGTCATGAGTGACTCAACCAACAGTCAGGTGACAAAAAATCAGGGAGCTTTTACTTGAATTGCAGGCAGTGTTTCCAGAGAGCAGAGAGGAGACAAGGATGGAAACTAATTAAACATGGAAGTCATTGCCTCTTTTCTGTGAATGGATCAGATTGAGAAGGTCTGGTTTTACTGACCGAGGTGATGACCATCTTGGTGTGACCGGTTGTTCAGCTCAGTGAAGCCACAGAGTGAAAACAGATGAAGTTGTGATGAACTTTGTGTTGGACTGGTTCACGTGTTGGGAGTCTAACAGCTGGTTTACAGTGTGTTTGTGTTTCCCTCAGCGACAGCGGAATTTCCTGCTAAATGCTGCCTTTGATTCAGAGTTAATTGATTCGCCAGAGATGCACTGAATACTCTGTTCTGTCGGTGACATCACGTCATGCTCCAGCCAATCACAACGCCAATATCCACCTCCAAACCTTCATCGGCAGGTTATAAAGTCAAAACGTCCTGTGCTGAAACTTCCAACTGAAGACCTGCACTCACTTTGGATGATGAATTCATTTTTCAGGTCTGTTATTTTGCGCTCTATTTCCTGTTTGGTTTCTTTCTAAATTGAATGTATTTGGATTTGGGGCTGTTTGTGAACAAAAAAAAAGACATTTGAGAAGTTGTGGGGAACGTTTTTGTCTGTTGTTAGTGGACAAATTGAATTTTTGATCAATTCAAAAAAAAAAAAAAAATCTATTCAGGAAAGATTGAAAATTCCAGTTAGGAGAGAAATTAATAATAACAATAATTTGTACCAAGTGCTGCTCAAAGGTAATCTGACCAATTATATTCATTTAAACGTCAAAATGCTTCACAAAAACAGTCGATTAAAAGTTGAAACTTGCATAAATATTTTGTAAAGAGATTTTTAAACAGTGATAGAATTAAAATCTGGTCTCAGCAGGTGTCATTTAAAATCAGCACGTAAATCTGTAATTTATTTCATTTGTGTCTGTTGCTTTAAATCTGCTGCATAAATAACAGAAACTTGATGAACTGATTTAAAAATATAAGATTTTAAATGTCAACCAATTTGGGGGAAACAAAAGCTTAAAAAAATACTTTATAATTGAATTTTACTCCTTTATTTCAACTTTTATATTATTATTATTATTATTATTATTATTATTATTATTATTATTATTATTATATGTTGGGTGTGGCTTCAGTCCTCACTCTTCTTATTTCACAGTTTTTCTACAGTGCAGTTTACCTTTTTTGTTAAAGATATAAAATTTTGTTTAATATCCGAGGAGACGGCTTTCAATTTTTTAAATGCTCATATATTGATTTTCTAGTTTCTTGAGTCATTTGGTCCGTCAGGTTTTAAGTGTCTCAGTTTGGTTTTACATGTTTTTCTCATTTTAGGAGAATTTCAAATTCCTTCATCTCCATTTTGAACCCTATTTTTTAAAAACAGTGCTCTGTGGAAACACCGTCTGCAGTTCACCTGAAAACTCACTTGTCACATCACGGCTTTTCGGTTGTGACTAAACTACCTTACCTTTCAAACCTGTCGGCGCGTTTTGGTGTTTAGACGGTTAAATACCAAGAAGACTGAAGAAATTACCAGCAAATAACTATTATTGGTGACTGTACCGAAGCTATAAAAGAATGAAAGTATGGGACAATTCTTGATTAGTTTGGAGTGAAAAGACTTATACTTGTTCTGTTTAATGATTCATTTTTCAACAGGATTTAAAATTTCTACACTTTGCTGTGTTGATTGTTGGTGAAGGTTGTTGTGGAGCTCTTTGTTTTAACGTCTGTCTGTCCTTGTAACGTCTGTTCTGTATGATCAGTAGACTCATCCTGACTCTATGGTCTTTAAACTGTACATATTTACATCAGTGCAAATTACTTAAACGTAAAGAAAAACTGCAGTGGATGCTTTCTGGTGCTGAAAATAGTTTTTTAAATATTGATTCGTCCAGATACAAAAATTAAAAAAAATAATAATAAATTTTACATCCATTTTTAAAGACCAACTTTCTGGAGCCACAACATCACCCTCATTCGAATAATTTGCTCTTTTTTCTGTATTTTCAAAGGTCAGTTAATTAGTTTGGATCTGTTTGCTCAGTGGTTAGCACCGTCACCTCACAGCAAGAAGATCCCCGGTTTGCATCCTGGTTAGGATGCTTGGGATCCTTCTGCGTGGAGTTTGCATGTTCTGCAGTGTGGGTTCTCTCCGGGTTCTCTAGCTTCCTCCCACACAATCCAAAAACATGTTGAGGTTAATTGGTGATTCTAAATTGTCCGTAGGTGTGAATGTGAGTGTGCTTGGTTGTCTGTCTCTAAGTGTAGCCCTGTGATAGACTGGTGACCTGTCCAGGGTGCCCCCTGCCTTCACCCTGAGTCAGCTGGGACAGACTCCAGCCCCCCGCGACCCTAGTGAGGTTTAAGTGGTGTATAGATAATGGGTGGATGGATCTGCTGGAAACTATTCTGTATATGTCCTCTCCAAAGCTCATGTGTATTGTAGTTGTATTTCTGGATATCTTAAATCTTTAAAATGGATTCACAGGTTTTATTTGATAAGTGAAAATACAATAATTCCCTGATGTGAAGTCATACATTGTCAAAAATCAGCAAAAATATTCTGCAGAACTCAGTTTTGTGGCATAATAACAAACAAATAAACTCAAAACTAAATTTAAGACTGTGCAGCAACAAAACAAATGCTTAATTCTGTCTAAACTGATCCAAACTGACCCATAGATTTGCAGCAAAATTGAAAATCTTGTTCTCAAAATAGGTACACAAGCTCCAACACATAATCACAACACACAAAAAGTAAAATAAAATATAACGTGGAGAATATGAGGAAAATAATGTGCATACTACAGTGTTACACACATTTTATATTGAATCTACTTTGTTGAGACTATCAAAAGAAAACGTGTCTCCAAACTTATGACTACTGCTGTAAATGTAACTTTCTCAGAATTAAAAGTTTATCTTTAATTAAGTGTGACAGCAGAACATTTATCTTCTGTGGGATGTTCCCTCGTGATGTTTCTGCTTAATTTAAGTGAATGTTTGAGGTGTCTTCTGCCTCTAAAGAGAGGGTTGATTGAGTTAAGCTTAAATGTGATTAAAGCAGATGATGTTGAGTCTTCACGGTGTTTCTGTGTTGGTCGGAGCTGCTGAGAGCTCAGATTAGAAGCTGATTTTCACGCTGGTTGCCGCTGAACAGGCAGCAGCTTTGTGGAGGATCAGCAGCTGACTTCCTCATGCTGCAGAGAAGGTTCAGGTCATGATGGTCTGCTCTGTTCATTCCTCTGCAGGTTTGGAGAAGCAGAAATGTTGGCCAATCAGCATCACAAGGTGAGTTCAAACCGCAGGAGAAACATCAGCACATGGTGGAGGGAGGGTACAGTCAAAATACAAGTGCCATGCTGTGAAAATACTCTGCTGCAAGTATAAGTCAAAGTGAAAGTATTGTTTATGTAGAAGCCAGTAATCAAGAGAATGTATTTGAAGTATTTAAAGAAGTCAAAGGAAATAAATGTCTCAGAAATGTCCAGAATGTTCCCTGGTTCCAGCTTCATTATCACCAACTAGTGGAAAAGTTAAACTGGTTAGATGTTTGGTTGGTTGGAGCTGGTTTGAGGAACGGTGGAACTGATCTGTTAGTGGATAGAACTAGTTGGTTGAAAGTGGCTGGTGGGACTGGTTGGATGTTTAGTTGGTTAGAAATGAGTAGTTGGTTGGTTGCTAAAACAGGTTGGATGGTTGGTTAGTTGGTGTAACTGGTTGGACCAATAATTGGCAGAACTGGTGAGATGAATGGTTAAAAGTTTGGTTGGCTGGGACAGGTTGGATAGTTGGTTGGTTGGTAGAAGTGGTTGAATGGATGGTTAAATTGTTGTCTTGTTTGGACATGGATGGTTGGTTGAAATGATTTAGGATAAATAGTAAAAATGATTTAGTTGGTAGAGCTGATGGTTGGTAGAACCATTTTAGATGATTTGTGAAATTGGTTGGATGGTTAGTCAGGTGGTTCTGGTTTTGTTCTGGTTGGATGAATGGTTGAAAATTTGGATGGTGGTTGGAACTGGATGGTGTCACTGGTTGATTGGTTGATTGCTAGAACTGGTTGAATAGATGGTTGAATGGTTGTGTGGTTAGAAACAGGATGGGTGGTTGAAACTGATTGGAGGAATGGTGGAACTGATTTGTTAGTGGGTAGAACTAGTTGGTTGAAAGTGGCTGGTGGAACTGGATGGTTGTTTAGTTGGTTGGAACTGATTTGTTCGATGGTTGCTAAAACAGGTGGGTTGGCACTGGTTGGATAGATGGTTGAATGATAGGTTGGTTGGACTGATGATTGGCAGAATCTGTTTGGATGGTTGACCAGATGGTTGAGAGCACTGATTGGAGGAATGGTGAAATGGTTGCATGTTTGAGTGGTTGGAACGGTTTATTTGGATGGTTATGTATAGTATAGTTGGTAGAGCTGGTTGGACAGATGGTTAAATAGTTGTGCTGTTTGGAACTGGATGGTTGGTTGACACTGGTGGGATGTTTGGTGAAACTTGTTGGTTGATTGGTTGGTCAGTAGGTTGATGGAACTGGGTTGATGGTGGATAGAACTGGTTGGAGAGATGGTTGTGTTGTTTGGAACTAGATGACTGGTTGAAACTTGTAGGTGGAACTGTTTGAATGTTTGCTTAGCTGCAACTCGTTCTTTAGATATTTGCTAAAAAGTTGGATTGTCAGTTGCAACTAGTTGGATGGATGATCGAATGATTGGTCAGTTAGAACTGGATGATTTGTAGGATAAATAGTGGAACTAGTTTGTTGGTGGGTAGAACTGGTTGGATGGTTGTTGAACCAGCTTTAGTGATATGTTTCCAATCTGTGTTCCAGACCAGCGCTGTGCTCAGAGCTACCCGGCTGCCATTGGTCCGCTCGGCGCTGCAGTCGGTGACGACGGCATACTCAGGGGTCAAAGGTCGCTACCCCCTGCTGGGTATGGTGGGGGGTGTGGCCGAAGTCGGCGTTCGCAGCGTCTCCTACCAGGCCATGAGAAGAGCCACGCCCCTCCTCCAGAGTCTGGAGCCGCAGAGTACGTACAAATACTACCAATACTACCAATACTACTCTGATACTTGTACTGGTTATGCTGGTTGTGCTGGTTCTGAGTCTCTTCATCCACGGTGAATCCCGCTTGATCTTCCTCTCTGCAGTTGAAGTCGCCAACAGCTATGCTCTCGTTGGTCTGGACAGTCTGGAGAGAAACTTTCCCATCCTGAACCAGTCTACAGAGGAGGTTTGTTTTGTTCTACACATCAGAAACCAGAAAATCAGCCAAACACAACATTTAATTACAAACATGTTTGATTAACAGTTAAAACGGTTAAAATTCAAAATGGCATGAAGCATTTAGAGCTACCCTAAAATGCTTCAGACATGACACATGAGAGTTAGTTTTAAAATCTTTGCATAATACAGATAGTTATTTTATGGTTTTTAATATTTCCAGGCTACAGTTCAGCCAAATGCTCTTATAGTTTGCAAAAATCTGTTTCAGCACAATAGAAATAGAAGCATATGGAGGCCTCCATATGTGAAGCGTCAATTTTTTCCAGTGTTGGTAACATCTGACATGTTGATTCCAGGATTTTTACATTTTTGCAACGTAAATAATTTTAAAAAATTAAACTTTTTTTTTTTTTTCCCCAAATTTCTGGCTCAGCAAGTTTTAACTTTGAAGGACAAAGTAAACCACAAATGGACAAACTGACATATTTCACATCAACACATTCAAACTGTGCATTATTAATATTTGTTACATTTAAAAACTAAATATTATATCCATTTCTCTACATATACAAGAACTGCTGCAGTATGGAGGAATCTAACTTAAAAAAAATATATGTATAGGGAGAGATTCAATATTGTATCGTATTTCTACATAGAGAAGAATCTGTACAACATCAACAGTACTTTGGTATAGTTCATGTTGATTTTTTCTTCTACTGATGTTCCTTCACATCTGTTATGTCATTACCTGTTGAGCTGCCAACATTAAATGCAGCAGCTCACTCGGACAGTCTGGGTCAGCTGTATGGTGTTTGCAGTGACTGTTATGGATGTTGTCAGGTCAGCTGATGAGGTGTCGCTGTATGTCTCTTTCCATCAGGTGATCAGTCACCTGAAGGACGCCTTCTTCCTGACTCTGGATGACATGCAGCTGTGGGTGGTGGAAGGACTGGATGGAGCTCTGGACCGGTTAGAGCATGTGGCCGACGCTGCTCGGACGGCAGTGCAGCAGCTGCAGGAGACTCCAGTGGGCCGAGCTGCCACATCGGGGCTGGACGAGGTGCTGAGCCGCCTGGAGGACGCCACTGCCTACTACCTGCCGCTGCCCGCCACGCTGCGTGAGTACATCAGGTGGTCAAAAGTCAAAGACAGGCAGTCGGGTTCTCTTCTGGTAACCGTCTGAACTCCAAACAGTTTCTGGGTTTTTCTTGCTCCAGTCGCTGTGTCTCATTTGTCCTCACTGTGGCTAATATTTCTTATCTTGTAATATAAAGTCCTGCACCTTTATGGAACAACCATGAAGAAAGAGAGAGAACTCAGAAATGTCTTCTGTGTAGTATGATACTGTCAAATAACAGAAATTAGAAAGAAAAGAAAAGACTTTGATTACTTACTTTATATATAAAAAACAAAAAACAAAGCAGGATGCCCTAACAGCATGTTTCCAAGTGTCCACAGGTGTTACCAACACTGGAAAAAATGAAGGCGCTGCATGCCAGAGATATTCAGCTACTTACATTTTTACAGTGTTGGCAAGACGATGTTGTTTCCTTTTTGTTGTTTTGTTTCTTTGGTCATTTTGTGTCTTGTTATAGTTGTCCATCGATGGGCAACTACCATGTGCATGTGTGTATGTGTTTGTCTGTTGACAGTCTAGCGCTTTACAGGAGAGGAGTTTGAACCTGAAACTTCATCCATGACCTCAGTATGGTCCCTTCTCGGAGTGATTCGATTTTGGGGTCAATACATGCATTGGTGACCTCTACAGAGGTCAAAGGTCGCATTTCCCAAAAAACAGCTCTGTATGACTGAAAATGCACAAAAAGACATAAGTTTAACACACGAACTTAGAAAGACATCCAAGGCCTCTAAACTGGTGATGTAACACATGACCTTGAGACAAATGTCAAGGTCATGCATATGTTAAGCAACTATGTCCTTCGACTGAGGGCTCTCTAGTTTTTGTTGTTTTTTGTTGTTTTGGTGACAGCAAACTGATAATTAACAGAAGAAATTGTTTGTGGGGGAAGTTTTCAACTGAGACATGTAGAATAAGGGGATTCTGATTAAATATGTTAAGCTTAAGTTTCCCCATAGAACAGCACTTAACAGATGGTTAGTTTAATGGCTGTTGGAGAGATGAATATCTGACCCTGCTTTCAGTTTTTACAGTTTTTTCATTTCTATATAGCCACATTTTAAACAATTTTTTAACCTGCCTTCAAACCCAGTTGCAGGTTTTTGGGTTGAACAGCAGCTGACTCACTCTGTGTAATGAGAGAAGGTTGAGTTTAGGTTCAGGTCTGTGCAGGTTAAAGGTGGAGGAGCAGCACTGATTTAGTCCACATGTCAGCAGGTGTCTTAAAGCTTAAAGTTTATTTCCTCTTTTGTTATCTGCGTCCACATGAAAACGCAGAAACCAACAGGAAGTGATGTAACCAACCCTAAAGCCATGTTGACCAATCAGAAACCTGAAATAATACCATCACCGTATCAGCAGGGGACTAACACTGATTGACTGGTTATACTGGAAGAGGGACAGTCTTGACAGATTACTGTGAAACTGACTGATGCAGCCTCCATCAAGTCAGTCACTATACACAGATTTAACACTGGGATGGACTAATTTGTACTGACAGCGCTAATTCAGTGTTATAGTTATGTTGAACTGTTGACTGTTTCACTGATTCACCGTAGAACTGTTGAAATAACAAGGCCATCTGTGATACAGATGCTTTAGAATTTAGAAATTTTATTTAACATTACATGTCAAACAAGTCAGAGCAGTGAAGGACACGTAGAAAGATAATTAAAAACAGAGACATCATTAAAAATGTATAGATTTTAAGGGTTTCTGGTGACTTACTGAATATTTTTGTGTAAACATATAAAATGTCTTGTTAGGGGGTACAACTTTACATGGCTTCATTAAATATACTAAAGTTACTGTACAAAAAGAATCAGCGGGTTCTGAGAAGGCTACGGCTGGTTTTTCATGGACCTTCATCATCAGCTGCCTCTGAGGTTTATTGTGTTTCTGACCTGAACCAGCAGGAGGCGCTGAACGTCTACAGACTCCTCACTGAGCTCACAGTTCATTCATGTGTTCGTCCTCTGGGATCAGACAGCAGGTGACGACTGGGAGTCATATAACCAGGTTTCTGTTTACCAGAGCTGTGCACAATGACACAGGACGACTCAAATCAGAGGAAATGTTGAATTTCTTTGATTATTTATTTGACAAAATGTAAAAACAAATTAAAGCCGCAAGCGGCATTTGA